GGCTTGAACGTTTAAATTTCATTTCTTTAGATTTGTTTACTGCGACTAATATAAAAAATTATCTATTTGCTCTAAAGTCATACCGCCTTAAGCTCATTTCGTTCATAATCCATATGATGTTTTTTTTTTTCAATTTCACCTACTGCTCATCACAGTTTTAGTGAGTTTTCCATTGAACAAAATATGAACATCTCCATTTTCTATTTCTAGATCCATTTGAATGCATTTCAATAAAAATTTTCATTACTCATCAACTGCTTTTTATTTTTTTAATTGTATTGAGTATAAAATATCTGTCAATTTAGGTATTACAAAAAAAACTTGTCCAATAGTACTTTTGAATTTGATAAAGTTGTAAAAGAGAGAGAGTGGGTGAGGTATTGAGGAGTACATTACCAAATGACAGTTCAAAAATTAAAATTCAAAATGAAGGCTGTCGATTCAAAAATTTGAAATTGCACATACATCCTTTGCCTATTTCTTCAACAAAATAGTCAGTAGTTGTTCATTTCACTTGCGTTGCTAGGAAGTGCACGGGAAGCAAATTTCGTACCATCTTCCAGATTGTGAAATTGTTATCAATTGATTTGTAATTATCATCATGAATAGTGTAATTGAATGTCACCAAATAAGTAATTGAAGATATTCCGTCCCATGCCACTAGACGAATTGGTTTCTCAACTTCTGAGAGTTGCCATTCGTATGGGGGCGAAAGCTGATTAACGGAAAAACAGATTTTTAAACAGATCGGTGATGGATTCACTCTTATTTTGGAAGACGAAACTTCAGTTATTATTCTCGAAATAAACTTTTGAGCCACGAATGAATTTGATACAGAAGTCAAGTTACTCCACGCCTAGTCTTAGTCTTGATTTGACTTGAGCATGAAACAGTGCTAAAAGTAAGAGTAATTAAGAATAAATGTTCAATGACATCATGTTCCAAGAACATTTGAAACAAATTATGTGAGGTTGAATTGTCAAGCCTCAATCTCATCTCTCAGTATCGTCAGTGACTAATAAACTCGAAGAGAATATCAAAGTTTTTTCAGCTACATTCTAGCCACTATACATTCTAAAACTATATTATTATCGACCAGATATTGAAGACGTTTCTCAGGAACTCAAAAAACATATCGAATGTCATCGATCCTTTATCTGATTTTCTCAAAATCCAGCCACTTGGCATATTATCCATGGCAGATCGAGAAGACCTAACATAAGGAAATAAAACTAGGGAATAGGTAAATTTTTATTCTGCGTTGAACATAATTCGAATTGTTATTTTATCTTTTCGTTTTCTTCTAGGTTCCCTAGGCTTCTAAAACCTTTCGGGACCAAAACGGACAGAGAGCTAAACCTGACTCATCTCCATTAAATATCCTTCTAGGATATTCTAGTATATGAGCTAATTCATTGTCTTTCAGAAATTGTTCAAATTCCTCAAACCACTTCCTTATAAACCGTTCTGTAACTGCTGCTCGAGATTTATTCATCTTTTCTGGGTGCCTTTTCATAGAGTTCATGTACCACGTTTGTTTTGGTGCTCCACTTTTAAATTAATTCAGACCAGAATCTGCATTCATTTTAGAAATTGTATCCAATGGCATTTGTTCTCTTATCGGAAACCTACATTTAGCCAGGACAAATACCCATTTTTAATTTGTTCCTTTCAACGGTTGATAGAGGTAGTGGTCCTGGTCGTCTATATTCATCTTGGTACTCTTCTTGTCAGTCTATCGTGAACGGTTGCCGTTGGGACATTGAGTCTACTGCTTTAGCTTCTTTTATTTTATTTTCAACTCTAACTTCATGCAAGGCATTTCTTAAATCTTCTTCCAAATATTGATACTTTAATTTTATCGTTTTTGGTCTAGATGGAATCACCACGGCGTCTTCAGTTCTTGTTCTGTTTTTCTCAGCTCTAACCACTGACAATTTAATGGAATCTCAATCAAAAAATATTTTAAATCTTACTCAATGACTATTATAATACGTCCATGTTCAAGGCTGACAAATGAAGTCACTATATATTTAATTTTTTGGCCGAATACCTAAAGCTAGTTCTTGGCCCCTGGGCCAAATTATTTAAGATCTAAATAAATCGGATGATGGAAATCAATTGCCGGCCAAATAAGTAGAAAGAGCTCATGCAAGTATACAAATTATGGCAAAAAAAATAAAAATTTTGACTATATTTGGTGAACCTACTCAAACAAGTTGATTGAATTTTGAATTGATTTTTTAACCAATTCTCAGCCCATTTGGCAGAGAACTAAAAAGTTTTTTTTTTCATACCAGTCCGCGGCCACCGAAAATTTCATATCACAAACCACTGTTTGCTCAGTTATGAATAGACTCGAGATGCCGAAAACAAGTAAAACTGTTGTAATAGGCCAGGAAGAGTCATTTATCTCAATATTTGACTTTGAATGCCAAAAAGGTAGAGATTTTGTGCTGACCAGATAACCAGTTCACTCATCTTATATTGAGCAAATACGCAGTGTTGGGACACCCGGTAGATTATCGGAATTTGATAACAGGGTATCATAAATAAAGTCAGTTTCCCTTTTCATTATGTCTGATGTTGAGCGGGAGATCAAGTAGAAGGTAATCTGAGTGGAAATTCTTTACATTTCTAAACACTCTTCGATTTTTCAAATTGGTTGCATTTCCAGTTAGAAGTCGCGTTGTTCACGTGCCGATTGGCAGTTAAAAAATACATAAACAGACAAAGTAAGTGGGCGCAAAGTGTGTCATGCGTACGAATGTCTTATCTTGAGGAACATGTGTGAAGGAAATGACTCATTCAATCTCAGATACTCACCAGGACGCCTGCTGCCTGCAATCTTCGCTGGCGAAAGATAAAACACTTTTATTTATTCACTTGTTTCTCATTTCTCAGTGTACGTCTGGTTGTGCGACTTGACGGTTGTTTGTTTTTATCAAGATCCACCGTTGATTGTGACTTTCACCAGTGAACCTAGGTTTCTTTGTTTATTTGCAGGTGGATACCGGTTTGGGTCTCGTTTTCGACGAGTTGCAGGTAAGTTGAATTTTAGCGGTTTTGAGATTTATTGACGATTTTATAGGTCGAAGAAACATTGCTTCGTCTTCTTTCTCTAAAATAAAGAGGATGTTGCTTTTTATCCATATTCGCCGTAGAAACTGCATTTCCTGTGGTATCGTGAATATTTAATGAGGAGATTTGAACATGACCCAAAATTGACATTTGCGATGAAATAAAATATCAAGGGATTCTCGATATTTGAATCAAACGTAATTATAAATTGTTCAAAAGATGAGTCCTTACTTATTATTTTTCAGTTATTAAAGGAACCAAATTCTTTTGCAATTCAACATTGAATGTTAGCTAATAAACTGAATTGATTTTATAGTTTTTTTTTGGATTATAACCCACAATCGGAAAAAATAAGACATAAATTAACATTAAATCTTCTGAAGTGTTTGAGGCAGGATTTTTTTTCATAGCGAGTACAGGTTTTGAAAACGGAAAAGGATTGTTTTCCGAAACGTTAACCATTATTTATGAATACGACAAAGTTACTGACTAATTGGACTTTCCAGTAAATTATATTAGACAGTAACTTTTCAGAGTGTACTTTTCAGTTTGCCCTTTTCCTACTACACTTCAGCTGATTGTGGAAGGTTATTTACCCAAAAAAACACTATAAAATATTGAGTCCTCCACAAAACAGTGTCGTTTAAAAAATATATACTGAAATGAATTTAGAAAGAATTTTCTGAACTATAATTTTGAACAAATCGTTTTTTTGTCTTGATGGCAACATATTTTTTATGGAAATGCTCAAACACTGCAGGAAAATCCTGTGAAAGCGAAGCCTGTGCAAAAATGCCTATTTGGGTATGATGAATTCAAATCGCTGTAGATTAGCAAAATCATTTGGAAAATAATGCAAAAATTGTTTCTTGTTTTGTTTTTTGAAAGTTTATTCTACAAGGTCGCCTTTCTCAATGAAAAAGTTTCTAAAAAGTTAGGTACTGCTTTTTTAGTTTATAACCTTCCACCTGGAAAACAAGCAAAGCTAAATCAACAGCGAATATACTGAACTGTAATAAAGGATAAACCGAATAGTTCACCCCGAAAAGTTACTACGTAATATAAATTATTGAAGATTTCAATTATTCAGTAACTTGTATAGGTCCTATGTTTGTTTCATTCTCGATTTTTTGTTGAGATTGGTGATAGGTGAATTATTAACACAGCGTTTACAAATAATAAACTTTATTAATAACACCAACAAAACGACAAAAAAAAAGTGTGACCTCGTGGCGAGGAGAATGAAAATTAGTATTAGTTCCCGGCCGAAATCTCAGAACAGAATGAATGAATGCCTCGGCTAAAAATTGTACTCGAAGTAACTTTCTCACTGACAATGGTCGAGTCATAAATATCGTCAAGAAAGGTCAACCACTTGGACCCTTGTCTTAATCCATAAAAGTGTTAACAATGAGTACTTACTCGAAACATCCCGATTGGTTCCGTTCTAAATATCCATCTGTTTGTCGGCAATAAACTCTCGTTTATTGCCGACAATTTAAAAAAAATAACACTTGTGATGCACTGTTTGAAATCTTTGGTGTAGTAATAGATATTACTGGAGTTTTTTCCCAACACCAAACCGTTATTTCAACACCTCAACACGTGTTTCGATCACCAAGTGATCATCTTCAAGAGGACGGAAACTAACAGTTTAGTTCAATCTTCCTTTTAACACCTCGACACGTGTTTCAATCACCAAGTGACCATCTTCAAGAGGAAGATTACACTGAACTGTTAGTTTCCTTCGTCTTGAAGATGATCACTTGGTGATCGAAATACGTGTCGAGGTGTTAAAATAACGGGTTGGTGTTGGGAAAAACTCCAGTAATATAAAAGGTTAATTAATTTAATATATTTTCGCTTTCTGGAATAATATATGTAATCTACCATGTGTACTAATTGTTCCGAAATGTTATAATCAACAAACAAATAATCTCTTTGAAAAATATTCAATAACTGATTATAAAACCACTATCAACAGTTTTCTTCGAACAATCACATTCCGTGATCGTAAAATGCAATGTTTATTAATTCAATGGCTGTGTTATAATAATCATTACTATTGTTTAGTATCCCAAGGTCACAGCAATATAAATACTGTTTCTACTTGATGGGCGTTCAATAGATTTATTGAATAATGTCATTACTCAAATAATTTCTTTTCATTATTCATCGAACCGTTTCTGAATGAACTGCGACATATCTTGCCAATGTGGATATATTACTTTTAGGCTAGCCGCACACTGGCAACTTTTCAGTCTCGGCCATATTCTAGCCGGCTGAATGTGCATTTCATTTTCCAGCAACAATTGAGACTTAGAGAAAACAAATTGTTCAACTCAACCTTACTTCTAGAAAGAAACATGAATTTTTAGTCAAAAACGAACAATACAGTTTCAAAAGTGAGACAGAAGAAACTTGAACTTCCGGCTACGGAAAAAACTATCATGAGAATTTTGTGGCCTTGTATATACAGTTATTGATGGAATCGTGTGATTTTATCGTCAATTTCGGTTTTGACGAAACCTTGACATACTATTGTTATTCATATCATACTTAAATTTGATTGACGGAATGAAATATTGCGTAAATATTTGAACTTTGATTGCTCCCCTGGGTTGGTAAAATATGTCTACAAAAACGCTGACTATTTATGTCACTGACACCGATACAGTTATGGTTACCTTTTATAAACGATCAATTGATAATTCTTCACCATTGCTTCCACCTCGACAGTAGGAGATTTCGACCATATAGGTAAATGAATAATATTTTCACAGTGGCTGACTCAGGGGTATAAACGAGGGACAAATGTAATATAAGTAATATCTTGTTTTCACCAGGTGAATTTTTTGTAGGAGTAAGAAATTCTACAACAAAAAAGCCAGAAATCTTAGATGATTATCCTAGTCTAACAAGAAAAATAGGATATATGCTCTTTCTATGTGCAAGGAAATATTTTTTTCATGAAATATAATGAATTTGTTGTAACAATATATATTTTTTTTAAATCCACAACAAGATGATCAGACTGTCAAGAAAGGTTCCAATACATACAATTAATGTGAATTATCAGCTTTGTTATAACTTTTACATCACCAACTGCTTTCATTCTCGATAGCCATCTTGATTTCGAACAGGTTGGAATCTGGCTCCCTTAGCCTTTCGACTGGCGTTTGTTAGAAGGATAAATGGGTCATAACTGATCATGGGATGGCGGAATGAATGTCCTCAGACATCAGTACCGCCTTTCACGGTGTACCCCTACCTGCCTGGAGTGAGTCGGATGAAAAATTGTTCATCTATTAACGGAAGACATGAGGACCTCATTCGACGGAGTGTTGGGGCCTTCTATATGGGGAGGGGTCGTCTATAGCATAGTCTATAGCTTCCTTAACTTACGGATTATTGTGAGTTTCCGCACAATTAAAAACTCGCCGATTCCTCGACTGAATGGACTACTGAATGGAAGGTAGCTGAAAATCTCTGCGGATGGCTTCGTTCTGCACGAACCGCGGAGCATTAACAATCATCCGTATTAACTTATTTTGTAGTCTCTCTAGGGTGGAGATGTTACTCAGAGCCGCTTGTTCCCAGACCCCTGAAGCATACAAGATGACAGGCTTGAACATCGTATTATAGATTGTAATTTTGTTCTTCAAACTCATTTTGGATTTTCTATTGATCAGAGAGTACAGACTTTTGATCCAACCCTCGATCTTTGCCTTCACGGTTATGATGTGCGGGTTCCAGGTGAGCCTACGGTCTATTAGAAGGTCGAAGTACTTTACCAGTGCTTGCCTGTTGATCTCCCTTCCAGAGACCCCCACTTTCCTAGCCGGATAAGATATCGTTCTCTCCATGGTTATCGCCTGAGTCTTTTCCTTTTCTTTTTCTTTCCCTTTTTCTTTTCCTTTTCGAGGTCGTCAAATGCACGTTGCATGTAGACGACGCCGAGCTGCTAACCCATGGAAGATGAGAGGAGAGCCGTGTCATTGGCGTAAAGAGACACCTTCACACGCTCGGACCTCGGGAGTTCGCTGGTGTAGAGCGAGTATAACGTGGGAGAGAGCACAGCTTCCTGTGGCACTCCAGCGAGAATTTCTCTGTTGTCAGACATGGAGCCCTCTACTCTAACCTGGAATGTTCTGTCTTTTAGGAAAGACCCAATCCACCGGATCAGGCCCTGAGGCAGGTCGTACGNGGGTTGGTAAAATATGTCTACAAAAACGCTGACTATTTATGTCACTGACACCGATACAGTTATGGTTACCTTTTATAAACGATCAATTGATAATTCTTCACCATTGCTTCCACCTCGACCATATAGGTAAATAAATAATATTTTCACAGTGGCTGACTCAAGGGTATAAACGAGAGACAAATGTAATATAAGTAATATCTTGTTTTCACCCGGTAAATTTTTTGTAGGAGTAAGAAATTCTACAACAACAAAGCCAGAAATCTTAGATGATTATCCTAGTCCAACAAGAAAAATAGGATATATGCTCTTTCTATGTGCAAGGAAATATTTTTTTCATGAAATATAATAAATTTGTTGTAACAATATATTTTTTTTTTAAATCCGCAACAAGATGATCAGACAGTCAAGAAAGGTTTCAATACAAACAATCAATGTGAATTATCAGCTTTGTCATAACTTTTACATCACCAACTGCTTTCATTCTCGATAGCCATCTTGATTTCGAACAGGTTGGAGTCTGGCTCCCTTACCCTTTCGACTGGCGTTTGTTAGAAGGACAAATGGGTCATAACTGATCATGGGACGGCGGCATGAATGTCCTCAGACATCAATACCGCCCTTCACGGTGTACCCCTACCTAGCTGTAGTGAGATTGATGAAAAATTGTTCATCTATTAACGGAAGACATGAGAACCTCATTCGACGGAGTGTTGGGGCCTTCTATATGGGGAGGGGTCGTCTATAGTATAGTCTATAG